TTGTCGCTTATCCATTTTGATCTCTTGAATGGAGACGAAGAAACGTAGTGGTAGTGGTTCAGATCTAACGATCCTATAGCCGATAGAGTAATGTCACCAGCTTACTTCATGCACGGGTGGAGCATCAAATGGGTGACTACGCGACGTGTATAAGTTGAACAGTGCAGGTGACGACGAGGACCCTTGCGCGACCACTCGCCTCGTCAGTAGGCCCATAGACTGCTTCTTGCCAACGTGAACATACAGCCGGTCTCGAGTAACATGTTGCCAGCAGGTTGACAGTATGAGACCCCGCCTGTTAGCCAGCAGTCTGAGCAGCTGAACTATCTGCAGAGTGTTGTTGGCTGATTCGTAGTTCAAGAACACTCCTTACTAATGTTTGCCCTATCGTTTCTTGTTTCTTTTAGCTTTCACCGGCGTCACAGAAGCGTCGATTGTGAGATTTATGATGTGCATCGTTTAGGACTGGATATAGCATATTTTCGAAACGGCTATGTTTATCACAACGAGTTCGATCGTCCAGAGTTTATTGCCAGTGGGGCTATTCAGAGAACCGGCGACAACCTGCTGACATTAGTACGAGCCACGTTGCTGTCATCGTGTTTGGAAACGGACTGTCCTCAGCAAACACAAGCGTTCGTATTTTTCGACCTGTTCGGATTGTTCACCGTATCCTACTTGCGCTCCACTAGCGTTGTTTTCAATCTATCGCTGGTGTTGGTTGTATTGCTTAAGCTTGTGTCCAGCTTCACTCCAGGTTAGTACAGTTCTGTGATGCGCACACTAAGATATTGAAAATAATCGTTCCTGTGCTGTCGAGTTCGTTGAGCGCTACTCAGTGCATTTTTATTTTATTTATGGTTTGCGTACACATTGTGCTTAATCTTGGTCAGATTTCAGGTGGGTCAAATCGTATTTTAGCCATAAGAGGCCCGCATCAGACGGCACAGTCGTTAAGTCTCGCATGACTATACCAGAGCAACAATCTTTTCATATTGTCCACAGGCCAACGATTTGCTGCCCGTTTTTTCGCTTGTTGCACGAGGCACAGTAGAGTGAATTCCTTGCTCAATAAAATTATCAGCTGATAAGAGAAATACACTGGTTTGAACTATGCATCTCTTATGTGCAAAAGCAAACTACTTGTTCACTGCGCCCCTGCCCCTTCTTTTAGTAACTTTGTATCCGGTGAATCAGCATTATGGCGAAGCCGTTCATTGTGCATGTTAAACCGCACTAAGTGTTTTCTGTCGTTTCCCCATTCTAGTTTTTATTGATTGGATCTACAAACAGACTGGCAGAGAGTTATCACAGTTGAGAACTGCCCAGCTCAAACACTGACTCTTTGCAGATTAACCAGTCAATTAGTGTTTGTTTTTTTTGAAGCTGACTCATAACGTGCTTTTAGTAGAGTCTTATCTAGGACTTGAATAGAGTAGTGGTATAGTCTAGCGTGTCCCCCAGTAGGGAGACTGATGTAAAAGTTGGTGTAAATGCGAGTCCTTTGTCGTCCGGAGAAAGACGCAGCCTACTGCGTATTCACTCCTGACTAGTAAAACCCTGCTGACGCAGGGTAGGTCATTGAAGTGCCTCAGAATTAGAATGACACGTGTACCAGGCAGCGGGTCATAATGTACACGAGATACACACGATCTAGTCTTGCAAGCTGGTAATGCGCATGATAAACCAGTCGTAGCCTTGAACTTTTTAGTTCTATCTACGCTGTTACCCTAACCTATTGTCGTGACTGCTGTATATTTGGCACGTAGTTATCTAGGTTGCAGACTGCACAAAATACATCTCTTCACCGAATTCTTTATATAACGAGGTTCGCAGTTCTTTAAATTTGAGAAAACGTAATTGATGCAAAACTTTGTCCGTAAGCCTGAAAGCTATTCGTAAATTGCAGACTACGCAGCGCAGCATGAAAAGATGTTTGTTGGAAATCACGTTGAAAGACAAATTAATGGATAGGAGCACAAAAGTCTAGGATGTCATTGCAGGGATGTTCCTGGAAAAGGGCATGGTACCAGCCATCTTTGGACCAGGAAGTTAATAGGCTGGGTTGAAAGAGAGAATTTAAGCGTTCAGTAGGAGGACCCCCAGACGGTCCTCCAAGCTGATAAAGTTTATTGGATCAAGATGGATAAGAATCGCAAAAAACAAGTTTTTGACATGTTAATGGAGAGGCTTTCATCCAGTGGTTAAATCTAAAATGGCTGATGACATTGAAGAGAATGAAGTAAGGCATTTTTCCTTTGCCTAACTTTTTTGCTTCATACGTTATAGCTATTTTTGCTGTGAAACAATGCGACAGCAACGGCAAATGACATTGTTGACGCGTTGTTGTTCAATTTAACCATGATGATGGCTTTGAAGCCATAACAGTGAAATTAAAAGTTTACCGTTTTCCACCGCGCCCAAAGCCACTTTTTCGAAAAACTGCTTATTCATAATCCTTTTATGTGTTCATGCATAGCCTAATGCCTGGTAGTTTATCGAATCTTGCAGATATGGCGCCAGTTTGCTACGGGTTTTCGCCGTGAATGAGTTAATCTGAAAATCTCGTAATCAAATGAGGCAATCTAGTCATCCTTTACATCAAAATTTTCATCTGGCCTGTCATTAATCCCGTGCAACAGTTCATTGCCGTCTTGTTCACAGTCACATGCATCGTGTACCATAAAAGAGAAGCGGGAAATAGGTAGAGTAAATCTCTGTCACTTAATTTCCAGCGTTTATTTTTATTCATGTTTGAAATTGTTTCTTGTATAGCTTCATTTACCTGTTCCAGCCTGCGAAACTTACTGAGTTCCTGTAATGAATACGTATGCAAATTAAGTTTAATTTACAGATTTTTGTACCCATTCCTGACTTGGGCTTGAAGAACTGAAATGTGTACTAAATTCTAAAAAAGTTTCAAAGCTTTGCTGCTTTTTCGTGATCAGTAGTGTAATGAACGTTTGCAGAAAGACAGGTCCTGCCTATTATTTATCAGTAATACAGTAACGTTGTTGCACTGGACCAATTTTGTTCTCGTTCGCTTTTCGAACCATTATCCCGAAGCCCGTCAAGTACCGACTTCTCTCTAGACTCTGCATATCGAACCAATTAAGAACTTGCGAACAACATAGGTATTAATCTCCTGTAGAAATGAAAATTTACGACATATCGACATCGTTTTCACTACTGCCTGGTGAAATGCTTAATACCCGTCATTTCTCCAGGTTGGCGTGGCGTAATAGAGCCTTGATTGCTTAGAAAGCTTTTGGACCTCTAGAAACAAGGGTCGATTGCAATTGTGCGATGTAAACCAGAGTTTTTCGAATCCGTGCCTAAAATAGCTGTTTTCTTCCCGTGATGATTGTATTCTTCTTACATGTCGCAGACTTGAACCATTGCGAAACATGTGACTTTTTGAAGTTAACGTTATTTAAATGCAGTAGCTCATCGATTCACTCTAATCGTTCGGTTTTGATTTATATTAAAAGTGTACTGTACCTTCAGGTATTGCAACGCGTTGGTCATTGAAACGGTGCCAAGAAGCGAAGAATTATACTTTTGTTGAGCTGTTTTTTCATACGGCCATATTTCTGTCCCTCTTAGCGTTAGCAGCGTTTTCTGAAGTGCTTTGTATTGGCCTTATGAACCTTACAAAGGCACATATGTGCTGGCATAACAGACAGTATCTTGTTCTTGCGTGGTACATTTTCATTCCAGTAGCTGTTGGACTTCTCGGTCATAGCATGGTCGCGCGACGTTTCAACCTACAGGTATTCGGATTAAATGTTTAACTCTTTTTCTTATGATTTACTGTTTCACGTTTAGAGCGTGAAAGAATCGCTACGCTTAGAAACGCTGTACAATGATATTTCAAGCTTGCTGTTTGCCGGTGCTGTCCTGACGTTGACATTGCTAAGACGAGACTCTGCGTACTTCTTCGCCGTCCCCTTGCTGTTCCAGTTGTCGCGGCCTTTGATTTCCTCATTGCTCGTTCACTTTCGTAAGTAATCCTATGCAAACCTCATTTCGTCTTGTTTCGCTCTTTATTTTCGACGTTTCAGAAGGGTTAGTTTCCGATTCACCAGAGGTCGTGTTTTTCTCCCACGTTGCAGCGTCCGTACCGGCGACCGCTTTGTTCAGCTATGCGTTTCTTGAAGTTTTCACCCTGGTCATTCCAGTCATGGCTAGGTTCGGATCAAATCTCAGTTCCGAGGTGATCATCGCCAGTTTGAGCGGATGCGCAGCGGTACTTGTCATCATGTGCTTCGTAAGATTTGTGGCTGATGATGGTCCATGCGATTGCTGGATGACGCATTTTTGCTTTAGGGTTCCTTAACGTTCATCACGCGCGGCATGACCAAGTGCTTTTCGTGCGCGATCGTCATTTGCTTGGCCGCTCTTCTCGCTATTGCAGCGTCCCCTTTGTCGCACCCTTTTAGTTACAGCGAAACCGCAGAGCCAAGACCACGACGAATCATAATGCATGTACGTTGTCTTTAACTCTTATCCGCGATGGAGGGGGATCATCATCGCATTTTGCAATGGCTACATTTTGGTACGCATAAGCTGCGCCTGTCGGTGGAGACAACGTGAGGGTTGGAGACCTTACACACATACACACCTCCCCACCTTTCGCCTTCATCCGCGATCCACATCTACTGAGTGCAGTTTATTTTGGTATGTTTCTTAACGTCATCTATCCATCGTTGTTTGAATCTTTCCTTTAATCAAAAGCCACTAGTCGTCGCGATTTGCTTAGCGTGTGCATGACTTGGCGGAAAGATTTCGCCATACGGTTCTCAGGACTGGTGCTGAAACTGTCCTTCAGTTCTTTTTTTTCAGGTTTGTAACTAAAGTCATTCTTCTATGCAGGTTGGTTTTATGGCATAAGGAGATTTGTCATTCTCATTGCTACTAAATTTTTGTCAGTTAGCTGACGGTTTTGAAGTTAATCGCAGGCCTCTCTAACTGCCACAATGCTTGGGGAGATGCGCTATTATTTTCCCCATGTCCTGGGGTGTAATCGATCAGTTTTTCCGTTACTCATTTTTCACAAAACATACGCGATATTGGATTTTTAGTATGCATCTTTA